TCCTTATATAATGACCCCCTCACACCTCCAGGTAAAGGCGGACTGTGAGAAAAAGTCAATAAAGACCGAAGAGTAATGAACAAACAGTGTGAGCAGAATAACTCCAGATGCTCAGAGAGATGACAATGATCTCACTCTAATGAGCCGAGGCGAGCTCACCTACAGCAGTAATGAGTGCCTGACAACCGGCACAGGCTGGCTGATTCTCCGCATAGTTCACCGGCAGCATGTTTGAAGTCTCTGTGCAAACAATACACCCACAGGACAGACCAAGGCCCTCTACACAGGGTAACCAGCAATTACTCTGTGGGCTTCTGTCACTTTGATCTCTGGGTCGTGACCTTTGCTTTCTTGTGATCTTCAAAGCCCGGATTGTAGATTAGCTGGAGAATGCTAGCTGGGTTATGTAAGCCACAAGTTTTACAGCTCCTATTTGGCTGAGAAATGGTGGCAGCCCAGGACAGCCGACAGAAGGTAGAGGGTCCCTCCCTCTTTCCCTCTGGCTGAGTGCTACAGACACTGGGCAGGCCCCAGGGCTGCTTTCTGCAGGCAACAAAGAAAGGGTGTCACTTTTTAAATAATTGAAAGTTGTGCAGATATTTGAAGGGCCTACTGAGGAGGAGGGAGGAAGGAGAGGCCAACCAGAGTTTGGAGTGGCAGGAGAGAATGAACGACAAAGGGTTTAGTGACGGAAGTAGAGCTAAGAGACTATGAGACCAACTCCCTTATTTGACAAGTGAGGTCTGGCATTTGTGTCCTGCTGACCTTCACTCTACTGTCTTTCCTACAAGAAGAAAGAAAAGAGCTGCAAAGGAAGACAATAGACCATTGTGGGCACCCAAGTCTCCCATGCTTGATTCATTTTTTTAGCCAGTGTTGAAGTCCACAGGGAGCCTCCAGGGCTTTCTAAGTATGATGGTGGCTCCCAGGCCAAGCTCCACCTCCCCACTCTCCTCCTGCCCAAATCCTAAAGGTTGCTGGTTATCACGTTCAGCTCCATTCAACAAACATCTCGAAACAACAGCACAGTGCCTACACATGGCAACGCATGGGCATGTCTGTGCTTCTCTAACAACAGTGGACGTTTAGCCGTGGACGTTTCTCCACCATGAACTATGAGGAATGGCAAACAGAAGCTACCGGCACAGTTCCACCCCTGCCCCAGCGGGACCAGGGCACTGCTTGGCAGCTTGGTGGTAACGTCCATGCTCACATATGAATTTAATGGACCCATTTTTACTGTAAGGATGAAAATCCAACTGGGTGCACAAAGGGTACGTGAGGAAGGACAGGGGTGGTGTTCGGGAGGGGAGGAAGGAACCAGTAAAAACCGAAGCAACTGTGAAGCCATTTCCAATAGCTTCCAAAATTTTGCCACTTCCCACTCTGATCCAGTGGTTGGCCACACTGTGACTTACAACTGGGCTGACCTCTGTGAAATCAACAGCTCCCATGAAAACGAAACACCAGACATACTTGTTTTGATGTATGGCTGGGTGACATGTTATAAATATTACATTACATAACCACAGAGGATGCCAATCAATAAGAAATTTTTTTAGACAGCACTAAATGAGCCATGGGTTCTTGCTTCTGAATACACTCCTTTAAGGCTCCTACTATTGCTTAAATGATTAATAGAAGACATATTGTCAGAAAATGTACTTAAAGTAAAAAACAGTAAACTGTAGAAATATCATTCATTTTTTAAGCAATTTTCTAGTGAGAATGTCACATAAATTTACATAGAGGCCCTACTATTAGGCTCTGAGTAACAGCTAGAAGGAAGACAGACCTTATGCTTTGTGGATGAAGGGCCAGGAAAATATTTTACCTAAAGGAAAGTAGGAGTGGTGCGTTGCTTTGTAGAAACCCAAATGCCACAGGAACTCTAGAATCAAAAGTCTTATTGTGAAGCCCTAAAATTTCTCAGGGGCCAATGAAGCACAAACTCCAGGTTGAACAAAGCAGAACTGCTTACAGACCAGAGAACTGCATCATACACACAATTTATCTCATCTAAATGCAAGTCTGAGAGTGCTTGTCAAACCAGAAATAAGAAATAAAGAAGGAATAAAAATGTAGAATTGCTAGAGAATAGGCCTTCCACTCCACTCAACCATCAGATGCTGTGCAGTGGATGGTAACTAGATGGGCACACATCTAATGTTCCCTCTGCTGTTCTTCGTTCCTATTTCTCTCAGACTGTGAGCATATTGCCACTGTTGTGAGTGACTTAGGGATTTCCTAAGGTAATTTTAACACTTAAGGGTTTTGACCAAATGTAATTTCACCTGTGTGCAGCCTCTAGAATCCAGCTCCTCATGGCAACTTCGCCATATGTACACTAACATGCAGCTTTCCCAGCTCCGTCCCTCAATGCCTTCCAGGGGAACCGACCTGGAGTGAGGAGGCCATGAAATAGATCACCCCTCTAATTGAGTCCTCCCTAAAGAATCATGACCCGACAAACAGCATGTGGATTGAGTCTGAAGGACAGTCCCTTGCTTATTGACTGTGTCTGTTGATATCCAAATGGATCTGATTCTAAATAGGCAGTGGGCATCTGAAGTGTCCAACAGGCCCTGCATCTCTCTGCAAGTACTCAGTTCCTTAGGGGGAAGGGCAACTGCAAGCCGACTCCAGCAAATATTCATCAAGTCCCTATTTTACAACTAGCACCACTTTAGGTACTGATGAGGCTTCAAAGGGCAAGACAACTCAGTCCTTACCTACTGAAAGGCATTATCTGGATGTGGACGTATATATGAAGTAGTGAGAGAAACATACAAGACAGGATGTATAATTCCAGAGCAGTGCATCTCAGAATGCTAGAGCCAACAGGGATTTTAAATTCTACTTAGTTGAGCAGCAGGATCACCCATGGACTATTTTGTTGCATTTTCCACTAAAAGAATCAAAATGCCTTGGATAATTCAGAAGTACAGCTTTGGTTAAGGGTCACTGTCCTCCCCATTGTACAGATCCCACTGCCAAAGCTGGACTACATATCAGATGTTCTATCCAACTCCTTACACCACGGGCCTCAGTATGTTTGCCAATGCGACCAGTTACAATAACAAGAAATAGCATTAGCCATTCTTTTCCTTTTATAAAATTATAAGCCTTTGACTTGAGACTGAGTAGAAAGAGGTAGAATTGATTACTTTCCTCACTCTACTTCTCTCATTCAAGAAAAAAACAAAAAAGTGCCTATAGCTTGATTCACTTACAGCTCCACGAAGGAATGGATGGATGAATATGTATGTGAATATGTGTGCATACACAGACACATACATACATATGTATAGACATATACATGCATATTTAAAATTTACTGGGCTACTTTAAAGCATTAAACACAGAAATTTAAAGAAAAAAGTCAGAAAACAAATGAACAATTTCCCAAACAATGCTTGGTTTATCTTGGAACTTTCTTGGACTTGCGTGACCCTTACATGACATATCTTATAAATAAGTTGCGGCAAGATGATAAATATGTTTTAAACGACCCCTTCCTACCTACAGTCAGGTTGTGAAATGCTTCAAGAGCATTAAAACTTCAGATTAACAAATTGATAAGAGTACTAAAGAAATAAATTAAGTTCTAAGTGATTAAGTAACTTACAGGATTGATTTGGAAATGCCTAACTATTCACTGGCTGGACAATAACCATATTTCTCCTATAGAACTCACACTCAAATCAACAGTATCACATCCCAAATGAAAATCTTCATGATGGTGAAAAGGATTTAATACATTTTTACAATTTTATTCTGAGATAGTTTTAAAGACAGGCTAAGACCCCTGTGAAATTAATCAAGAAACCTAGAAAATGGTTAAAGGTACAAAATTCCTCCCAATAACTGAATTCTTGTGGTAGCTTGACTTTGTGTATGGGTATCTGTGTACATGTATTTTTTTCAGTACACAATGTTCAACTGCTTTCAGTTTTTCTCACAGCTTAGCTTTTATACAAAATAAATGCCCCCAACTACATTCCTTCACGGGTTCCCCCCAAATTTTATATGAGTTCCAACAGAGTAAGCTCTGTTCTCTCATCCTCATCTTTCCCTGACCCTTCCAGATTTCTCTTGGAGCAGCCCTGCTGGCCTTGTGTCCCCTCTCTTCCCTCCTGCCCCCTCTCCTTTTGCCACCCTGATTCAGGCAGAGTGTTAATGACAGTTTATATTATATTGGAAAGAAAGGCTACACATATAAAAAGTCCATTAAGAAAACATTTAAATATCAATAATCAAGAATGAGAACATACAGAATTCAAAATGAAGAATGAAATGAATTTAGTAAAATGGGTGAAATTAGAAAGACTCCCTAAGAGGAGAAATTGGATCAGACTTTTCAAAGCAAATGGTTCAAGAGCAGAAAGAAGAAAAGGATTTCTACCTGGAGCGCATCAGAGCACATGGTTGATAGACACTGAGGCACAGATTTATAGAAAATACTTGTGGGCCTAGTGTGATTTCCTCTAGGATTGTATATAAGCTTCCTAACTTTGGTTGGAAGTACCCTCTCCAAAAAGCAACTCTGAGGCCAACCACAGGAAAATCTTACAACACAGAGCAGGGGTCAGTAAAATTTAGTCAGTGGGTCAAATCTGGCTTGCTGTTTTTGTAAATAAAGTTTTATTAGAACATAGCCATGCCTGTTCATTTACAAATTATTTATGGATCTTTGTGCACTGTAACAGCAGAGTTGAATAACTGAGACAGAGACTATATGACCCTCAAAGCCTAAAACATCTATTATCCAGATGCTGACAAGAAAAGTCTGTCAACCTCTGACCTACACCACCCAACAGCTCTTCATGGTTCTTGACTAAAGGAGACAATGGTAATAGGTTAACAAAAAGGAGAGTTTACCATTGTCGTGGGATGTTCACCTACACTTACCATCAAACATCTGTGCACCCTAGAATATCATCCCCCCAAATATGCTATTTTTCCTCTTTCTCACTATGCTGAGGCCCCGAGACACTCACCTGTATCTCCTGTAGTCCTCCTCATCCTTTTCCAAGCTGACCAGCTCATTGGGACATGCCACGTTACCCAGCAGGCTGAGGTACTCCAGAGCTGGTGTCACTTCTGCCAGGTGATCAAGCAGATAGTCCAAGTCAGTGATGTGATAAAGGTTAAGGATCTTGGTCCAGGAAGTCAAAAGGCCTACCAAGCAGCAAAGGCTATAACTGACAGGTACAGCCAAACAGCTGATGAGTCCAGTCTGCTCCTATGAGATAACATGGGTGAGGGTTGAAATCAACTTAGCTATGGGCATCTGGCCTGACTAGTTTTTCACTCCTACAGTTGGGGACACAGCCCAGGCTTTCTCCAGGCAGGTAAGGCTATGTCCAGATCACCTGAGAGATAATGAATGAACTTCACTATTTTATCACATTATTCTTTCCTCTCTCTATATATTTTTAATGATGAAGGGTAGATTCCATGTGTACAATATTCACAAATCCACAAAATGTTTTTCTAGTAATGAAAGCAAGAAATTATTTCCAAAGGCCTCATGAAAACTATGTTTTCCTTTCTCATTTATGGGTAATTTAACATTAAAACATATAGGAATGGCATGGATGCAAACAGGAATTGGCATTCTCTTATCATCTGGAGTCTGTGGTGGAGCTAAGCATTGCTCAATGGCCTTACTTGTGGCACTAAAGCAATGGAATTAGGAGAAAAGAGAAAAAAGCTAGGAGAAGACAAAGTAAATTGTGGTACATGTAGTCAGCCAGGAAGGTCAAAATGCATTTCCTGAGATTCTGCTGTGACTCTAATATTTTATAAGGAAGAATGAAAGAGAAAAGACCAAGGAGGGGCATGGAAGGAAGATTATTCTATGATCCATCCCTTCAGTAGGATCCACTGTCTGGTCAAGGCAAACACTGAGATCCCCAAACCAAATAAGGCAAAAGTCATACATTCAGAAAATCATAGGTATTGGGAAGGACTTAATGACAACCCAGTCCACATATCAACTTTTTTTTTAATGATGTGGCCTACACCACATACAGATTAGCTGAGCCCTAGGCAAGGTGACTAGACAGGTCACAAATGGAGGCCACGACTACCAGGAGCCTATAGACGAGAAGAGTCAGCCAACTTCAGCAGAAAGAATGGGTCCTTGCCAAGGAACAGCAGCAGATCATAGAGGGGCCAAACATGCGAGGGTGAATGCAGCACTCAGGTATCAAAGACTTAGGGTACAGCTTCCAGGAATGAGGTCCACATGGTCCAAGAAAGGAAGATAAAATTAAAGGACTGCCTTTACTCTACCAGGATGTTATCTAACCATGGGCTGTTACCCCAATTTCAACTTGTCAGTTGAACTCCAAATCCAGTCAAAGAGGAATCCATTCCTTAACATATGTGCCAAGAGGTCATCACAAGGTAGCTTATTCTATCGATGATGACTCTAAGAGTTTTTTTTTCTCTTGGGATTGAACCTTCCTCAAATTCATACCCACTGACCCAATGAAACTGCTTGGGGTCACAAAGAATAAGGCTCTCTTTCCTTCCACATGATGATTCTTCAGTTAAAGCTAACATGTCTTCCTTAAATCTTACATTCTCCAAACTACTTTGCTTCAAGCATTCTTCATCCACATGCTCTCACACCATCCTATGTAAAACAGGCACTGTGCTCTGGGAGGGAGCAAGCAGAGACAGTGGGAGGGGGACCACAAGCAAAAGAGGGGGGACTAGCAAAGGAGGGCCAGCGCACACTCTTCCTGTGGGTTCACTTTGCCAATACTAACCCCGTGACCTAAACAAAAACAGGACAATCCATCGAATCTTTAACAAATAACATGCAGGAATAGCCACTAAAATGAGGATGAATGAAAAGGGAACATGTGGAGAAGACTAGGGAGAAGGTCCCAACAGGCAGGTAAGGGTGGAGGTACAGGGGGTGAGTGGCCAGGAGCCAAGACATTAATGTATTTCATCACCAAAGACAAAACATGCTTACTATTTTAAAACTAAAGTTCAATCATCTCACTCTTTCAGAAACCATTTAAATAAAACCAATTAAAATGACAATGAACAATTTCAGGGAAAACTTGTCTTTTCCAGCATGTTCTATGCTTCACAATCATTGCCACATTAGAAAAGGAAGAGTCCCGACAGTACTCTCTCTGCCAGTGCTGCCCTTAGACCCTGGCAGAGGCACCTCAGGAGCCCCTGTACTTTCGAATGCCCCCCTCAAAAAATGTTTAAGTCTCTGTCTGGTATCTAGGACAGGCCAGGGGCCAACAGCATCATTCAGGTAGGGCACCTCATGCTTGGACTCAGACTTGCATGAGCCTCAGTCCCAGCCCTGGTTTCTCCCCTTTGGGATTTGTTCCAACCCTCTACCTATCACATGGAGCCACTGGATGCTCCAGAGACCACTAGGACTCATGCCTATCAGGTAGTCCTGAAGCCTCAAGGCCAGATCACAGTCCCAGGGGTGGGACAGCCAGACAAGCTGATTCCCACTAGCCAGTGCAGTATTTCTTTTGTGGGATTGCCAGAAAACAGGCTGCCAACATGGTGCCAGCATAATGATTTGGAGTGATTCATATTATTTACGTAGACAATGGCCCTAGAGAACACAGGGGAAGTCCTTTCTACTAGATGGAAAAGTGTGACCAAAACCTATTTCCTTCTTCCATTTTTCATCTACTGCATGAAACAGAATGTGAAGGAATGGAACTCAAAACTGGCAAGATTTTCAAGCTGAGGAAACATTGGGCAACTGAGGTGGATTGAAATCCCAATCAATTCTTACCATTTATGGTGAGATGGGAAACCTAGCATGCCACTATCCAGAGACATAGGCCCAGTTTAATTTGAGCAAATCTTCATATGTAAACTTACCACAAAGCTAATAAATAAAGCTTGTGTGTGAGGTCTCCTTCCAGGGCCCAGGCAAAGGCCCTAAAAATAGAGTCACATGATCATGAGTTTTTGTAACTTCGCAATAAGAGGTTATTTAAACTACAGTGAGTTAAATCACTGTCTCCCTCCACTAGGGCCTCTTCCATCACATCTCCCCTTGAGTTGGGTGACACTAGAATGGCTGTGGGAATTCTAGGGACCTGGCTAAGGGTACCTTGTGTAGGAGTGGCATTTAATTAGGATTCAGTGGGGTATACCTGTGTGGTTTGCAGTCATTTCTGTGCCTGTTAAAGTTATTACAACAGTAGGAGTAGAAATGACTTCCAGTGCTTTTCCTACCACATGCCACACTGACACAAATATTTAGGGACCAACATAAAACTGGTGATAAAATGATTAATAAGTTTATCAATTTAAAGAACATTTAAGATTAAGTTGTTGAGCATATGCATGCATATATATACACAAACACACACACACACACACACACACACACACACACACACACACAAAACCTGAAATGTCCTGAAATCTTATAGCTCATATAGGAAAGAAATGTATGAGTTTCTGCAAAATATAGTAATTCAAAAACTTTTACCAATAATTTAGTGGTGAAATTTACCAATAATGAGTCATGAACCTGAAAGAAACATTCCTAAATGATTAAAAATAAAAATCAATTTTCATTTAGTTGGACTTATCTTTCTATTCTCTCTACTGAAAATATTACAAAATTTAATTATATAATGAAACTATAAGGAAATCTCCAGAAAAAGAATAGTTTTTATACAGGCATGTCTGGTATAAAAAGATTGTTACTCTTTAAAATATTTTAATATTTGCAATACTAGCCAACATAAAACATTTAAAATTTGCTTCAATATATTTTTTATTTTGAATAAACATTCATCTTCACAGCTACTTTTGCATTCGTAATTATGTAGTCTTTGCTTTTAAGAGGGCCTCCTCAAATTATGTAAGTATCATACCCCACACAATCTGAATCTGCTCCTGAAGTTCATGGAGATGTGGACTCATTCAAATGTCCTGGTCCTGGGAATTTCTTGGGCACAGGGTCTGCAGACTTCAAGAAGCTTCAAGAAGGATTCTTTGGAATCCTTGAAGCCTGCTTCGTTTAGGATAATTTGTGTAGCAGATGCTATTCTATCTTCCTAAGCCTTTCAACTACCTGCCGAATGATCAACCGGGCTAAGTCAGGTGGTCTCCCCCAATCCACACCAGTCAACTATCACGAACACCTTGTGTGTGGGTGCCCTGGACCAGAGAGTCATCATTAGGTTGCTACCACCACTGGAGGATGAAATGCGAGGAGTTTTAATTGGTTTCCTGGTCTCCTGAGCCAGCAAGGACAAACACAGTCGCATGGCCTGATAGGGAGCTCAGAGATAGGATCTGTGACACTTCTTTTGTCAAGTTGCACAGAAAATTAACCAGAGGCAATCAGTGGAGGGAACGTGGTGTCCCTGGCTAACTAAGACCACCACAGAGAGACACTGTCAGAGATTCTCCTGAGGGTGCCTTTTTCCCCCCTTTTTTCAAAATTTGAACCTCTCTGGCAAAGTTTCAACTCTGTCCAGCTGGATTCTCGGCACACACTTGGTTTTCCTCATCAAGTCTTCTCCAGGGTACTTGCCCTTACATTTTTTCAGTGTTGTCTTCAGAAAGGTGCCACCCCAGAGCCCAGCTGTCACAGCGAGGCTTGCCAAGGGAGATTTTTTTGCAGAGGGCCCAAGATCAAAGCAACATCTTGCCTGGAAATTTTGGAGCATGAGAAAGAAGGAGAGTCTGCTAGTGGCACGTCTGGTGGCACAGGTCCGAAGCTGTTTCCCAGGTGAGAATGGGCACACACACTCCCTCTGTGCTCAGCTCCACATCAAAGGGCAGCATCTATGACCTCTGGGAGGATTTTAGCCAGAGCTTATCCTAATATAAGATTTCTGAATGCTAACTCACAGTCTACATGACATATTATCTTATTTCGATTCACACACACATCAGAAATATCATGTCCAGATAACAGTTAAGGAAACTGGGGTCAAAGGTCACACAGTCAGTAAATGACAGAGTCTAGATTCAAACTGAGGTCCTAAAGAAATGGCACTTTTAGGGGACAGGTAATTCATTATTCCCTAACATGTAAGAGGAATTTAAAATACTGAAAAATGAGGAGCCTTATGTGCTTTCGTGGGAGACCATAAGGTGCTGTCATACAGC